ATTGTCTTTGGCTATGAGAAAATGTTGTAGCTGGTTTCATCTTCTTTTTTTTTTTTTTTTGAAACAGAGTTTTGCTCTTGTTACCCAGGCTGGAGTGCAATGGCGTGATCTTGGCTCACCGCAACCTCCACCTCCTGGGTTCAGGCAATTCTCCTGCCTCAGCCTCCCAAGTAGCTGGGATTACAGGCACACGCCACCATGCCCAGCTAATTTTTGTATTTTTAGTAGAGACGGGGTTTCACCATGTTGACCAGGATGATCTCGATCTGTTGACCTCGTGATCCACCCACCTCAGCCTCCCAAAGTGCTGGGATTACAGGTGTGAGCCACCGTGCCCAGCCTGGTTTCGTCTTCTATCCAGACCACTCAAACTTTCTCCATAGTAGCAACAAGGCTGTTTTGCTTTCCTATCTGTGTGTTCACTGGGGTAGCACTTTTGATTTTCTTTAAGAACTTTCCCCTTACATTAAAAACTTGGCAATTTGGCACAAGAGACCTAGCTTTTGGCCTGTCTTTGCTTTTGACATGGCTTCCTCAATAAGCTTAAACATTTCTAGCTTTTGATTTAAAATTAGAGACGTGTGACTCTCCCTTTCACTTGAACACTTAGAGGACATGAGATTTGGGAGGGCCCAGGCGCGAAATAATATGGTATGACTCTGTGTCCCCACCCAAACCTCATCTCAAGTTGTAATCCCCATGTGTCAAGGGAGGGACCCAGTGGGAAGTGATTGGATCATTGGGCAGTTTCCCCCACACTGTTCTCATGATAATGAAGGAGTTCTTAGAAGATCTGGTTGTTTGGTAAGTGTCTGGCACTTGCCCTCTGTGCTCTCTCTCCTGCTGCCTTGTGAAGAAGGTACTTGCTTCTCCTATCTCTTCCACCATGATTGTAAGTTTCCTGAGGCCTCCTCAGTCATGTGGAACTGTGAGTCAATTAAACCTCTTTTGTTTGTAAATTACCCAGCCTCAGGTAGTATCTTCATAGCAAGGTGAGAACAGACTAATATACACTCCCAAACAGTTGTAATAATAACATTAAAGACTACTTATCACAGATCACCATAACAGACATAGTAATAATGAAACAATTTGAAATACTGTGAGAATTACCAAAATGTGACAAAAAGACAGAAAGTAAGCACATGCTTTTGGAAAAATGGAACCAAAAGGCTTGCTAAATGCAGGGTTTTCATAAATCTGCAATTTGTAAAAAACACAGTATCTGCAAAACACAATAAAGTGAAGCATAATACAACAAAATCCCTATATGCGTATCTCACATTTTCTTCATCCATTTGTCAGTCTATGGACACTAAGATTGATTTCTTATCTTAGCTATTGTGAAAAGTGCTGCAATGACCATGGCTGTGCAAATATCTCCCTGGGATACTGATTTTATTTAAATATATACCCAGAATTGGTATTGATGGATCAGATGGCAGTTCTATTTTTAATTTTTTGAGAAACCTCAATGCTGTTTTCTAAAATGGCTGTACCAATTCACATCCCCACCTAGAGTATACAAAGGTTCTGTTGTCTCCATATCTTCACCAACACTTATCTTTTGTTTGTTTGATAACAGCCATTCTAACAGGTATGACATGATATCTCATTGTAGTTTTACTTTGCATTTTCCTGATGATTAGTGATGTTGAGCATATACCTGTTAGCCATTTATAGGTCTGTTTTCTAAATGCTTTAGTGTCTGTTTCCCAGTTGTTCATCTTGCCAGATGTTATATCTGTTTTAAAGATATTACGACTATCTGCACTATTACAAGTCACTCCAAAGTTCAACAGTGTAAAACAATAGCCACATTATTACACTTTCAAATTATGTGGCTTAGGAATTTGGACAGGGAACAGGGGGATGGCTCTTCTCTATCCAAGATATGTAGGGCCTCAGCTGAGATGACTCAAATGTTATGGGGCTGCAACTGCTGGAGCTGAAGGATCCACTTCTAAGACAAAATGAGATGGCTGAGGTGCCTGAAGGACAAGCTCAATTCAGAATAACCGCCAGACCGCCTACAGGTGCCTCTCCATATTGATCAGACTTCTTACATTAGGATCCAAGAGGTAGTGCTCCTACTGAACAAGATGGAAGCAACAAAGCATTTTATGACCCCCACCTCAGAAGTAACAGAGGATCACTTTTGCTGTATCCCTTTAGTTGCAGTCTCAAGCCTGCTCAGATTCAAGGCCAGGGGACACAGACCCCATTTTTGATGGGAAGATGGAAAAATAATTTGAGGGCATGCTTTAAAATTGCCACAATAGGCAAAGAAATCAAGACTTGGAGACTTTGTCAAGGTAATTTGTTTGGTAAACATAGAACTTCTCAGTGTTAATTATACTATTGGAGTTAAGAATTGTATACTTCTGGCCGGGCATGGTGGCTCATGCCTGTGATCCCAGGACTTTGGGAAGCTGCGACAGGCAGATTACTTGGGCCCAAGGGTTCGAGACCAGCCTGGCCAACATAGCCAAACCCCATCCTACCAAAAAGAGAAAAATTAGCTGGGCATGGTGGTAGGCACCTGTAATCCCAGTTACTTGGGAGGCTGGGGCAGGGAGAATTGCTTGAACCCAGGAGGGGGGGTTGCAGTAAGCTGAGATCATGCCACTGCACTTCATCCTGGGTGACAGAGCAAGACTTTGTCAAAAAAAATGTATATTTATTTTGGTCTTTCCTTGGTGTGTGTGTGGAGTGTGTGTCTGTTACAGCAGCATTTAAGTAACATCTTAGGAAAAGGGACTCCAGTCTTCCCAAGATGAACTGTCCTTCTCAGGAGAAAAGGCAATACAAATGTTTCCTTCCACTCCAGGCTAAGATGAAGGGCCTCCAGTTCATCACTGCTCATCCTCTACTTTCCCACTTTCATAGGAAAGTAACCTAGTTGACAAGAGATGGCTGAAAAATTACTGCAGAATATACTTCAAAGTACAGGTACATGGATCTCTCCTAGGGCCAACAGGTAAGGTTTGATTTTCAGGAAAGGCCTTAAATTTTATAGTTTTGAAGTCATCTTCAGTAATTAATACATTCATATTCTTGTATTAGGTGATAAACATGTCCATTAAATGTAAATATTTAAAATATATCAATATTTTAATAATTTCTACTCTCTTAGAATCCTTAGGAAATATAAACTTATGTTTTGCTAGAATTCTGAGAAGTCCTTTCTGACAATGCACAAAAAGCTGGATAGAGGCTAACCTATATATAACTCCAGGAGAAAGATATTTATCACCACTTCCAATCCCAGTGGTTAAAGTCTCAGGGATTGGAAACCGAGTAAATTGATTATCACTGCTAAGGAGAGGTTAAAAGATGAGCTTTCTTACCAACCCGTTTCACATCTGTTACAGTGGACAAAGAAGCAGGGTGCTGGGCCCAGACTTAAGGGTAAGCTTTGGTTATTTATGAGAATATTTAGTCCATATCAGTATGCTAAAAATGAGAGAGGGTTATAGGAATAAAGATAACACAATTTTCTGGAGGTGCCCAAGACTGTTTCTCTTGGGGATTCTATGGAGAGTACAGGTGCAAGAGGACAAAGTGTAATGACTCTCTTCCCCTACCTCATGGTGAGCCTTGGGGACTGATTCCCCTGTGTATCCCCTATTTCCCTGGATTTTAGCCTAGACAACATCCTCGGTACACTATGAAACAATCCCTGCGAATTCAGGAGGGTCACAGTTGGAAAAACCTTAAAGTGCTCTGTGCAGATTCTCTCTGCTTTCAGAATGACAAAAACTATGGGATCCTGAAGGAGAGCATTCTTCAGCCTGGTGTGAAGAGTCTAGGTCTCCCCTAGGTCCTTTAGCCTGTTTTTACTGCCTGTCTCAATTCCGAGTCAGCTACTAACAATTGCTACATAACATCCACAGAACAGACCAAAGGGGGTGGAAAAAACTCTTACCAAGGGAAGGGGGAATACAAAGGTACAGGGAGGTAGAGTGGGAAGCAATTCAATCTCGATGTCACTGACCCTTCACAAACAGCAAGAATATGCCTAAAGACGTTAAGGTAATTGAGGGGTCCAAGACTGTAATCTAAATTTGCACCCTATAAATAGAGCCCTTATTTTCTAAGGTTTTAGGATACTTAACAAGTTCTATCAAATGGAGGTCTTAAAAAAAACTTAAAGGAGTTTTAAAAGCAGAAATAGAATGAAACTTGTTCTCTAATCACAATGTAGCAAAACCAAAATTAAGATGAAAATGGCAACATTGTACATCTCTTAAGTCAAAGAGGAATTATAATGAAAACAACAAATAATTTTTAAATATAAGTAAGAACGCTGCATATAAAAGCTATGACATATGTCTAAAGCCATACAGAGAAGAAAATGTATAGCTTTAAATGCTTTTATCATTAAACTACAAAGAATGAAAATATAATGTGGGGGATATTTATGGAAAGCTTACAGTGTGTAGGGGCAGACCAAAATACATTTCATTTAATCTTCATAGTACATTTGAGGTAGGTACTGTATTTTCCCCTTTATAATAGCTAGGAGGCAGGTACTGTATTTTGCCCTAATCTTTTTGAAATGCTCAGAAGTACAATTAGAGACATAGAAGTATAATTATCCATGCAATGTTCTAAATACGTTATCTGTTTCCAAGAACTGTTTCATGTGTTTCTTGATTCAATGCCACAAATAGTTTTAAATTCTTTTACATAGGGCACTGTAACAAAGAGAGGAATATTAGACATTCTCTACCTCGTAAAAATCTAGTGAAGTATATTTGATATAAATAAGAGGGAGGATGCAATTCATATAATGATTGCAACTAACCCTACTTCCCCAAAATAGACTGTATTAAATGCTAAAAATGATGCATAATCACAGTGCCATGACTGCAGAGAGAAAAGTGATTCCAACTTGGGATGAGGACAGGAGTCAATTGCCATGCTTGTTGCCACTGTTCAGGGAAAGAAGCTCTAAGTTGTTCGAATAATTAATTAGTGCAAGTGAAGCAGGAAGAGCATATACATTTCCGCTTTATTAAAATATTGCATAAATACAGAGCAGTTGGGCACATCCATTCTAAGGCACTGTTCTGGTTTGAATGCAATTCCACAAGAGAGAAAAGAGAAGCCATTACATTCTGTATTTTTCATCTCTACATTCAGACTCCTCCATATTACACGATTATTGCTACTGGGATATCTAATTGAGCCCCAGACTTATAGCAGCATCATACAGGGACCTGGATGACAAGAATTAAAGATACATCCTGGGTCTAGCAATTGGTATAATTGGCACTTAGTTACAAACTCTCTTGCATTGTTCGCCACCTGTTTCCCAACTCTTGTTTAACTAAAAATATTATAAAATCTTTATGAGCATGACCCATGAATTATATTTCTTTACTAGCTTCCACTAAGCCTAGAACAGCACTAGTTAGGCACATAGTAGATACCCCCCAAAGTACTTATATCACTTTCAAGAACTTCAATGGAATCGAAGAGATATATTTTCCCTAACTGTAGTTTAAGGAAAGGGCAACTGAGTATCTTCATAAAGGGAAAACGCTTGAATGTTCTATTTCTTGTATTTTATAACAAGGAACTAGGCTCAATGAATATTTTCATGTTTTAACAGCTTTAACTGACAGTGAGAAGTCTTCCCTTGCTTCAGGAATTTGAGCTGTCACCATGATTACATGAGAACATTTACATAAGTAGCAACGTGTGTGTGTGTGTGTGTGTGTGTGTGTGTGTGGTGTGTAATTGTAAGTAAAATTCAAAGAGGTTGAGAATCACTGGGCAACTTATAAATTATCTGAATTAGTGATCCTCACCTTCTTAAAGTGGTGTGTGCGTGTGTGTGTGTGTGTGTGTGTGTGTGTAAATATAAGTAAAATTCAAGAATGTTGAGAATCACTAGGCAACTTAAAAATTATCCAAATTAGTGACCCTCACCCCCTTAAGGTAGCATGTGTGTATATGTGTGTGTGTGTCTCTGTGTGTGTTACACATATTCATATATAAAGAATTTTTCATAACACCCTTAAAACAACTGGAGATAACTAGGCTTGGGAGCAACATAACTATACCGATAGCTATAGAAATATCTGTTTAAGGCAGTGTGTTCCAAGAGATATTCGCAGAATATTAGTTCTGTAGGTTATTATTGGGTATATGAAAAAGTTTCGGGGTCAAATAAAACATTCAGCCAAAAGAGGTGCTTTTTCTCTCTTTTCTAGAGAACCTCTCAGAGATTCTCATATGCTGATGTGCACTATCAATCTAAGAAGGCGAAACAGCAGGAAGCAATTCCCACACATATTTGCAGAATAGCTAGCAGAACTAAGTATTCTATGACACATACATAGTGAGACGCTGAATTAAAGAATGGGTAAAATTTTTAAAAATACTGAAAGACACATGATTGAATACCAAAGGAGAGTGAAATACCAAAGGAGAGCAAAAAACACTGGTTCTTCAGTCAATCTAAATTAAATTAGATTCTGCTTGTACAATTTCAATTGCCAAATGGATTGTTCCAGACATACAGCTTATTCTGTGAATAAAATAAATTACCAAATTAGTACTCTGCACAAACTGCTGACTAAGCAGACTAGCAAACTGCAAAATTCACAAGGTTAAAATCTTAATTTCCTTAAACATAAAAAATTTCAGTGGAAATAACCCAGTTCTTACCAGGCAAATGACATCGCCTTCATCCTTGTGTTCCTGACACGTTTTTATTGTTTGACAAAATTCATTGTCTCCTTTCTTGCCACATGAGACACATCTAAAGCTTTGAATGAATATAATCATCTTTAATAAAGACAGCAGAATAACTATAGTACTGCTATAATCAATATGTCTGATAGACATGTTTATCCGCTATGTTGACTCTACCTCTAAAAGGATTGTCATAATTTATATGCTTTATGTTTACACCTATAATACAGTTGTCTTGGAACACAAAATTTTTCATTATAATAAAAAAAAGAAGAGTTGTGCAGACAGAAGAAATCAAATCTAAGAAAATCACAAGAGTTAGATAAATACTCTAGAATTCATATACCTTAGAAAATGGGTTTCAAAAATAGCAAAAAAAAAAAAACCACACACAAAAAAACCCGCTGTTCTATGTTCTTATAAGCTCAAAAGCTCAAATAAAAGCTTCCAAGACAAACAGTCTGCTGCAGTTTAAGATATTTTTGAGTTACTGTCAATTTGTGTAGGACCTGTTTCCCTTAGCAATTCTTAAAGAAGTCCTCTAAAGTGAGTGACCTGGTGCATAATAAGGCCTGCTCTCTGTCTGAAGCTTTTAGAACAATGAGTACACTTGTATGGCTTCTCCCCTGTGTGGATTCTTAAATGAATAACGAGGCTTGGTCTCTGTCTAAAGCTTTTCCCACAATAATTACATTTAAAAGGTCTCTCTTCAGTATGTGTTCTCTGGTGCAAAGTAAGAGCTGTCAGTCGACTAAAACTTTTCCCACAATTATGACATCTATGAGGTTTTTCACCTGTATGAGTTTTCAGATGTCTTTTAAGACTTGATCCATGACAAAAACTTTTCCCACACTCAAGACATTTATATGTTTCTTCTTCAGAATGGGTTCTCTGGTGCCCTATAAGATGTGAGCGCCGAGTGAATCGCTTTTTACATACAGTGCATTCATAGGGTCTCTCCCCTGTATGAAGTCGTTGGTGTCTATAGAGGTCTGAACTACGAAGGAATCTTTTGCCACATTCAGGGCATTTGTGAGGTTCTTCTCCTGAATGAATTCTCTGATGCCCAGTAAGTTGTGACTTCCGAGCAAAACATTTTCCACACTGAGGACATCGGTGAGGTTTCTCTCCTGGGCTCTTTTTCTTATGGGGTTTAGGATTGAGAGGTTCTTCCAAGTTGGAGTTCTCAGGTGTCTCTCCCAGAGTGGGGTTCTGCTGATCTACCAGTTTTGCTAAATCTGTCTGTAAATCCTCTGGGGGGCTTTCCCATTGACTTTCTAACTGTACATAGTCTTTTTGCAAAATGGGACCCTGAAGAGCATTCCCCTCTAAAGTTACAATAAATGGATACATAGTGTCCATTTTTTTCTGTTTTGAAGCATCTTCTTCATTTTCTATCCCCATCTCAAAACCTGAGAGAAGAAATAGAAACTACATTTGATATTGTGTTCCATGGAGAAAAGAAAGTGAAAGAAAATGAAGAGTTATATTAAACCAGTAGTAGGAACATATAAATCCCTAAATAGAATTCCAAACTTTATTTTTATTTAGGTTGAATTTTTATTTTTTTCTGCCCTTAGTATATCAAAGAACAATTACTTACCTATCTTGGAATCAAGTAACTGTTTCATTTCTTTAGAATCCTGTAATTCCTTCACCCACGGCTCTTCTCTATTCTCCAATGAGAAGTTCACGTCAAGCTTTGGTAATGGATATCCTGGCCAGAAGAAGGATGAGAAGCATTATAGTTTGGCTCATCAAAGGTTTTTCCAAAATTTAGGCTGATTTCTTGGACACATAGCCTCTCAGTATCTACTTCTCCATTACTATTACTTCACCTGAGTCTCTTACAACAATCTTTTCTTTAAAAGTTAAAAGCAAAATGAAAATGAGGCTGTGCTCAATTCAAAGCTATTCTCTAATCTGTGGAAGGTGAGTGAATAAATTCTGTGCTGAAATCAATGCACTGAATCACTTCAGCATCTATTTTGATACTATATTTGCTTAGGCTCGAGCTAAATTATAAAGTAAATTTTGTAAAGTTTTGCCATATTAGTACTGGGGAACACTGCTATCGAGTGCCAAACAGAGAGAGAGAGCTTAAAGTAGGAGTTAAAGTGTTTACTAGGACAATTCCAGTGGAGTCTTTTGAATTTAAATGAAAACAGAACTGGGTTGAAACTATCAAACACAGTATTTATGTTTGTTTCAGCTGAAGTCTAGAAGTAGCTTCTCTTAAAATTCGCCCAAATGACAGGTGAAAATCACTATTAGCCAAAATGACTACCAAACAGTATTTCAAAGTGTCAATCTAAGGACAATCAGGTGACGTTTCTAACCACTCACTCTCCCCTTGTCTGACCACCCCTTTCCTCATTGACAGCTGGTATTGCTTACATCCTCTTTTCTAAGCTCCTTCTTCTCCTTTCCCTCTGGTCAAGTTTACTGTCTTCAATGAAATGCGGGCTGTAAATTACTAAACGTAGGCTGATGTTTAAATATTAATATTATTAAAATGACACTAGGAATTTAGTTTGACTAATGTTAATCTGAAGGAAAATTTAAATTCCAGAACATTACATTCAAGACAGAGGAAGTGGACTAAAATACCTTGTGTTACTTTTTCATGAAAAAAAAAATCATTTTCAAGATTAAGAAACAAAAGACGCATTACAAATAAAGTGCTGTTTAAATTCACTATTTTTTTTTTCATTTCGATGTCAAAGCTAAGAGTAAAATTACAAGGTAATATGAAACAGGTAAAATAAAATTGAAGGTCATAGATCAAAAGAAAGCTGCTGTGAAGTAAAAGATGGAGTTTCAGTTGAAACTTGGAATAGGAGAGAGTAGCAAAGGCTTAGGTACAAAATACTGACTTATAACCTAAATGTATTATAATTTGAATCCACATGACAAAGCAGCATAAGTAAAAATAATTACATAATTAGAAAAGACAGTATAAATGAAAATTACTGCTTCTTTCCTTTGTTAAAAGATTTAAAATACAACTGTATAAAATATGTATGTAGTGTATTATTGGGCATACAACATATAGAAATGTAATATATTTCCCAGTAACAGCAGAAATGAGGTGTGTAACAGCAAACTGTATGGGGCTAAAGAAATGACTCTAGTTGATAACTCAAATCCCCAGGAAAAAATGAAGAAAACCAGAAATTCTAAATAATGTTAATATAACAAAAGTTATAATGTATATTTATTTTCCCTTCTTCTTTCAGCTTCTTAAGAGTCTTAAATTATATAAAGCAATAATTATAACAATGTATTCTTGGGTTTAAAACATTTTTGATATAACAGATATGATAGTAGTATCACAAAAAAAGGAAAAGGGAATAGAGCTACATAGGAGAAAAGTTTCTGTATCTCACTGGCATTAAGTTAGTATAACTAAAACCGATGATAAGATGTAGATGGTAAATCCTAGAGAAATCACTAAAGAAATAACTTAAAAATAGTAAAATTATTAAAGTAAAATATTACATGAGAAATAGTTACTTAATGAAAAAGAAAGCAGTAAAAGAGGGATAGCGGAACAAAAACAACTTGAGTCATATGGAAAACAAAAAGCAAAACGGCAGATATAAATCCAACCATATCAAAAATAAAATTAAATGTAGATAGATTAAATGAGTTCATATAAAAGCAGAGAAGGTCTGACTGGATTGAAAAGATCCAACTATACACTGTGTATAAGAGGTATACTTTAGATTCAAAGATACAAACAGATTGAATGTAAAGGGATGGAAAAAGATATATCATACAAGTAGCAACCACAAGACAGCCAGTCAAAATAGACATTAAAACAAAGAAACAAACAAACAAAAAATCTGTTACTAAGATATACAGGATCATTTTATAATGATAAAAATATCAATCCATCAGGAAGATATAACAATTATAATCATGTATGCACCTAATTACTGAGTACTAAAATATATAAAACAAAACCTGACAGAAATAGTACAAGAACTAGATAATTCAACAACAGTAGTGAGACACTTCAATAACTCCTTGCACTGTTAGATAGAAAATCTAGGCAGAAGATCAACAACACAAGACGTAGAAAATAGTATAAACCAACTAAACATAACAGATATTCATAGAACACTCCACCCAACAACAGCATTCTATACATTCTTCACAAGTGCACATAGAAAGTTCCCTAGGACAGACAAGATGCTACAGCATAACACAAATGCTCTGAAATTTAAAAAGATCACAATTATAGGGTATATTTTTTACAAAAATGGAATGAAATTAGAAACAAATAACAAAGAAATTTGGAACCTTCAAAAATATGTGAAAATTATACAATACACTTCTAAGTTACCAATCAGTCAAAGATGTCAAAAGGGAAATTAGAAATATTTTGGGATAAATGAAAATAAACATACTGCATACAAAATGTAAAGGATATATTTAACACACAGCTTAGAAGAAAATTTATAACTCTGAATGCCAATATTAAAAAGGAAGAAAAACTCAAACTAATTACCTATTCTTCCAACTTAAAGTACTGTGAAAGGAGCAAAGTAAACCACAAACAACCAGAAAGAAGGAAACAACAAAGATTAGAATAGAATTTAATGAAATAGCAAATTGTAAAACAACAGAGGAAGGCATTGAAACCAAGATTGGTTATTTAAAAACATCAACGAAGTTAATAATACTTGAGAGACTGGCCAAGAGAAGAGGAGAGAAAATTCAAATAACTACAATTGAAAATGAAAGTGGGGGTATTACTATTAAACTTACAGAAATAAAAAGGAGGGGTAGGTACAGTGGCTCACACCTTTAATCCCAGCACTTCTGGAGGCTGAGGTAAACAGACTGCTTGAATCCATGAGTTCAAGATCAGCCTGGGCAACATGGCAAAACTTTGTTTATATAAAAAGTAGCCAGTAGTGGTGCTGTATGGCCTGTAGTCCCAGCTACCTGGGAGGCTGAGGTGGGAGGATCACCTAAGGCTGAGGTTGCAGTGAACTGTGATCATGCCACTGTACTCCGGCCTGGATGACTAGCCAAAAAAAAAAAAAAAAGAGAGAGAGAGTGACTGAGAGAGAGAGAGAGAGAGAGAGAGAGAGAAAGAGAAAGAGAGAGAGAGAAATGATTATAAAGGAATACTATGAACAAATGTATGAAAATAAGTTAGATAAATAAAATTAAAATGGACAAATTACTAGAAATACACAGTAATCAAAGTGACTCAAGAAGAAATAGAAAATCTGAATAGGCCTATAACAAGTAAAGAGATTTAATTGACCGGGCGCAGTGGCTCAAGCCTGTAATCCCAGCACTTTGGGAGGCCGAGGCGGGTGGATCACGAGGTCGAGAGATCGAGACCAACCTGGTCAACATGGTGAAACCCCGTCTCTACTAAAAATAATAAAAAAAAAAAAATAGCTGGGCATGGTAGTGCGTGCCTATAATCCCAGCTACTCAGGAGGCTGAGGCAGGAGAATTGCCTGAACCCAGGAGGTGGAGGCTGCAGTGAGCCGAGATCGCGCCATTGCACTCCAGCCTGGGTAACAAGAGCGAAACTCCGTCTCAAAAAAAAAAAAAAAAAAGAGAGATTTAATTAGTAATAAACACCCCCTCTCCACCCACCCACAAAAGGCCAAAGCACAGATGGCTTCACTGGTGAATTCTGTCAAATATTTAAAACAGCAAAACCAAGTCTACATAATCTCCTCCTGAAAAACAGAAGAAAATGGAATACTTTCCAAATCACTTTACTGGCATTAGGAAACAAATATATGTTAATACAATAGAATTGGGTGTCTAGAAATAAGCCTTTACATGTACAGTGAATTGATTTTTGATAAAAGTACCAAGAACATTCAAGAAAGAAAGAATAGTCTCCTCAACAAATGGTGCTGGGACAACTGAATATCCACATGCACAAGAATGATGTTGATCCCCCATGTCATATCACATAACAAAAATTCATTCAAAATGCATCAATGACCTAAACCTAAGAGATAAATTCATAACACTCTTAGAAGGAAGCATAGGTATAAATCTTCGTGATCTTGGATTAGGCAATGGTTTCTTAAATATGACATCTAAAGCACAAGTGACAAAAGAAAAAGATAGCAATTCTTCACAAATACTTCCAAAAAATAGAAGAGGAAGAAAGGATTCCTAACTCATTCTATGAGGCAGTTATTACCCTGATAACAAAGCTACATGAAGACAGGACCAGAAGAGGAAACTACACATCAAAATCTCTTATGAATATGGATGTAAAAATCTTCAACAAAATACTAGCAAACTGAATCCAGCAACATATAATAAGAAGTGTGGGTCAAAACCAAGTGGTGTTTATCCCAGGAATGCAAAATTGATTTAGCATTCAAAAATTAAGGTAATACCCCATTACAATAGAATGACAAGTAACAAAAAACTCACATGATCATCTCAATAAATGGAGAAAAAAACATTTGACAAAATTGATCAGTTTCCTGATAAAAATACTCAAATTAGAAATAGAAACTTTCTCATCCTGATAAAAAGAATCTAGGAAAGACCTTCAGCTAACATCATAAGTAATGGTGAAAGACTAAACACAGTTCCCCTGAGATCAGGAACAAGACTTGATGCCCACTCGGGTCACTTGTATTTGACACTGTACTGGAGGTTCTAGGCAGAGCAACTAAGAAAACAAAAATAAATGAAAGGTATCTAGGTTGGAATGTAAGAAATAAAATTCTCACTTGCTATACTAATTCCCATGAGAACTGACTGTTAAAAAGAGCCTGGCACCTCCCTCCTCTCTTGTCTCCTCTCGCTATACGGCCTGCACATGCCCGCTCCCCTTCGCCTTCTGCCATGCGTGGAAGCTTCCTGAAGCCCTCACCAGAATCAGATGCAGGCACTATGCTTCTTGTACAGCCTGCAGAAATGTGAGTCAAATAGATCTCTTTACTTAACAAACTGCCCAGCCTCAGTTATTCCTTTATAGTAACACAAATGGACTAAGACAGTGCAGTACTTCCATAAGAATAGACATGTAGATCAACAAAATAGAAATGAGAATCCAGCAATAAAACCATATACCTGTGGTCAACTGATTTTGACAAGGATTTGAAGGATATTCAATATAAAAAGAATAGCCTTTTCAACAAATAATGCTGAGACACCTGGATGTCCACATGAGAAAAAAAAATATTATTTGGACCTCTACCTCATTAACTTATATAAAAGTTAATGAAAACTAGATCAAACTCTTAGATGTAAGAGCTAAAATTATAAAACTGTTAGGTGAAAACACAGGGGAAAATTTTCATGACCTTGGATTAGGCAATGATTACTTAGATAAGACATCAACAGCACAAACAACAAAAGAAAAAACAATTACATTTGATTTCATCAAAATGAAAAAATCTTTTGTGCCACAAAGGACACTATCAAGAAATTGAAATGGGAGAAGATATTGGCATATCATATGTCTAATAAGGGACTTTTATCTAGAATACACAGTTGACCATTGAACAACATGTGTTTGAACTGCACAAATACTTATAAGCAGATTTTCTTCCACCTCTGCTACCCCTGAGACAGCAAGATTAACCTCTCCTCTTCCTCTTCCTCCTTAGTCTACTCAATGTTAAGGTAATGAGGATGAAGACCTTTATAATGATCCACTTCCACTTAATGAATAGTAAATATATTCTCTTATGATTTTCTTAATAACGTTTTCTTTTCTCTAGCTTACTTACTGTAAGAATATCGTATATGACACATATAACATACAAAATATGTGTTAATTGACCACTGATGTTATTGGTAAGGTTACAGTAGGCTAGTAACATGATGTGGAAAGGGAGCACTGAGCTAGTTATGGATGGATCAGACATATATAACTTGGATAACTCTCAACTTATTTTCATTTTTATGTGTCTTCTGTGGTCTCAGTATTTAATAGGCTCTTGAACGTGCCAACATGTTGAAACAGTGCCTGGAGGAGTGAGGGGAGAGGATTCTGGCCACAATTGGGCCAAAGCTTTAATGCAAGGGGTAGAAGAGGTACAGGGAACTCTGGGTAAGAACACCTCAATGGGGAATAAAATATAGGAGCACCCAGACTACGTGATCCTGCTGCCTTTTTCCACTTGCACTTTCTCCTTCTAGAACTAACCTCTGTGGTGTCTGGGCCAGTGGTTCCCAATCTTTAGTGCATGTAGCACTCACCTGCAGAGCTTGCTAAACATGCACCCTTGGTGTTCATGCTGTGAGTGGTCTGCTTACTACAGTTTGAGAAACACTGTAATATGTAACAGGTTTTTATTTAATGAGGCAGATATTTCCTTTAGACTGTGGTAAGCGGTTGATCCTACAGGATCTAAAGAGACTATATTACTAAAGTATTAAGTTTGAATAAGGCTCTGATGTCAAAAAGCAACTGAGGCCCTTGAGACCCACAACATCACAGTTCCTGTTGATTAAAATTGGGCTGAGAAATGATTCCTTATCCAGAATCCAAACTCCCATAGTTTTCCTATGTAATATTATTGATTAAAAGACCTTATCAGGGTCATTAGCTTAAAGGATTCCTAATCCCAGGATTCTATCCAAAGTGCTTTGTTACCTACTATTCGCAGAGAGATTTCTTCTTCTTCTTTGAGTGGTCCATTTCCATTAGGTAATTCGTATTTCTAACCCAACCCCAACCCTTGAGAGTTCCTGAACTCTCAAAACAGAAACAAAAGAAAGGAGAGAAATTCCTTGCCTTACCAGGGTCTAGAAAGGGCTGACATTCTCCAGCAGCACCGTAGTTCAGCTCCTGTGGCCCTGCCTGTGGAATCCATGCCTCTGCTACTGGGGCCTCCTGGGCAGGTCCCATTACCTGGAGTGCAGGTGACTCTAGGTGCATGGTTGGTGGTATGTGTGCTGTTCCCACTGGTGCCAGTTCTTCTAAGAGCATGTCATGCATATCAACCTGGAGGAAATGTCAGAACCATCACTCTCAAGTCTACACCAGCAGTGCCCAGTAGAATTGTATGAGAATCATGCATGTAATTTTAAATTTTCTACTGGCCATATGAATAAATTTTTTTTAAAAGGCCAATTTTAATAGTACATATTAATCCAATGCAAACAATCAGCATTTCAACATGTAATTAATATGAACAATTATTAGTGAGATATTTCACCTACTTTTTTCATACCAAGTCTTCTGCATGTGGTGTGTATTTCATACTTACAGCAGATCTCAATTTGCATTGGCCATATTTCAAGTGCTCAAGAGCTGTACATGACTAGAAGTGACTGTATTCGGCAGCAAATGTCTAGACCACATGAAGATAAAATCTTATATAGTAAACAAAACCAAGGAGACAGAGAAAGGAAGGGTAACCACCAACCCAAGTACTCTAGGGAGACAGAAAGCCTCAGAAGACTACTGTTCAGGAACACTGAAGCTAACAGCTCCTGCAGAGAACCCCCACAGACAAGATTGGAGTATCCCTGATGTCCCTCTGGAAGATCCTGCTCCCTTTTCCCAAAGATACTGCCCTCTCTCAGTCATGGAACTTCTGAAAAGAGGCTTTGCACAGTCGTTCTGAATGGCAGACAGTGCCACTGCACCCATGGGGAGTTTTGAATATGCTGACAGGTGGTAGTTATCAGAATTTAATGGAACATAATGTACAATGCAGAATTGTTCCAGGTCTCTACAAGTGTGGAATGTCCCACTCAAACATTCATGTGAATAAAAAGAACGTGTCAAGAACTCCACCCTGTTGGTCAAATAAGTACAATTGTTTGCTTTGTTTTGCATAGTTTCAGCACAAATAAAAATTTCTAGGAATACACTACTGTGAAAAGCAAAGACTACACTGCTTATTGTTCAGATTTACCAAGAGTCGTATGCCACTTTGGAAAATCACATGATGAGCAGCAACACTGTTCGTAGTACTTGAGCTGTATCGGTCTGAATTTCTGGCTGTCCCATTCACAGTGATTCTAAGTATAGATGTAAGCATCTGATAACTTCATGACACTTGGTCAGGCCCAGGCATGTATGTGCACAAATCCCTATCAGTTTACAGCACAAACTATGTTTCTTTTCCTTTATATTCCTTCTAGACTTGACTCAGGTTTGGCAAACTTTATCCAAATAGTAAATATTTTAGGCTCTGTGGGCCACATTCACTGTCAGTTCTTCTCCTTCTTCCTGTTCTTTTTCCAATGACCTTTTAACAAGGTAAAAACCATTATGTACAGAGTACAGAGAAACAGGCTATGGCTTATGTACAGAGTACAGAGAAACAGACTACAGCTAGAACTGGCCTTCAGGCCATGGAGCAATTTACTAATGTTTTGAGTTGATTTATGTGGGTAGATTATGTTGTCTATGAATTTCATTTGTGCATAGGAAAGTGGACATTATAAACCATTTGTTATAGAAAGGCAATTGAGTCTGATAGAGTTAAAAGCACTGACTCATTTGCTGAGTTCAGCAGAAGAGAAAGAGGAAAAGGACTCTGGAAAAATCTTGAGGCTGGGGAATGACACAGAGACAAATGTGTGGTCTAGTCTCAGCTGCCTCAGCTACTTCCTTAGGACCAATCACAAAGATCCCACATTCTTTTCTTACCTGCTGCTCTGGTATCTCAAGTTCTCTCTGTAAGTCTTCTATGAGTGACACAACTCTTTCTCTATTCTCTGGGCAGTGCTCCCTCACCCAGGTCTCTATCTCTGTGGGCAAGATAGTTAGGAATTGCTCCAACACTAGCAGCTCCAGGATTTGTTCCTTAGAGCGCATCTTTGGCTTCAGCCATTGACAGCAAAGCTCCCAGAGTTTGTTAAATGCTTCATGAGGCCCAGCTGCTTCTCTGTACTGGAACTGCCTGAAGCGCTGACGGAAGACTTCACAGTCAGTATCATACTCTTGAAACACAGAGCCTTGATTCAAGGATGCCTGGATTGCACAACCCAAGGCCACAGCCATCTCCCACTTCCAGCAGTTTACAGTTTATCTGGAGCCTTGCTTATCAGATTCCGATTTGTTTCTCTCTGAAATTGTTGCAGTGGGAGGGAGCCACCTACAGCTGAGGACCGAAAAAAATGAGAAACGAGAAACAGGAGTGGTCACAAGAGGGCTTACTTACCTTCATTAACTTCTTTTTTACCAAAGACCTAAAGTAGTCCTACTACATTTCTCTTGGTTTTGAGAATCTGATGAATCAGACTCACTTCCTAGAAAAATACACATACATACTATTCTCCATCTAGTTTCAAAAGTTTATAAAAATCTCAAACCTCATCTATGGACCTTGTAGAACTGTGCTTGCTGTCCAATATGGTAGCCAACAGCCCCATATGACACTTTAAGTTCAGTCAAAAATTTAGTTTCTCAGTAATATTAGCTAAATTTCAAATGCTTAATAGACATCACTGCTAAAGGTCTATTGGACAGTTCTGCTTTAGAATTCCATGGTCCCAGGCTAAGGATCCCTGAATTTATTAATAAATGAACCCTTATAAATCTGTTGGCATTTAATCCCATCCCAATTTAATTTCAACTGTCATGTGTTTCTCAATATATGTAGATCTCAATAGAAATGGAGAAGGAATACTAATACTTCCAACAAATCTTTGAAAGTCCATGTAGCTTTAAGTACTCCCTAAAAGCCTTCAATCAAAGTGAACTTAGGTAGAGCCATGGTTTGCAAAGGCAGCAAATTGTCCACCTCTCATTCTTGTCCTCATGGAGTCTGTGTAATTCCCTCAACAACCCCATGCCATTCCTTCCCCATACCCCTCCGCGATAGCATTCCAGGAGGATCTTCTACATGAGAAATACACTGCAATAGGGAGGTCATTAGGAATTTGCTATGCATTCCTAACAAAAGGATATTTATTAAGTTCATGCTATGTGCCACTTAATGTTCTAAGCATTTTACATAGACTAGTCAATTAACCCTCACCCACGCTTAGGAGCTAGGTGCTAGTATTATCCCCTGGATACAGATGAGGGAATTGAGGTTTGAGGCTTAGAGAGATTGAGCAACTTGTCTAAGGTCACAAGGAAAATGCCAGAAGGAACTGGTGATTAGGTAGAAATCTACATTCCCCAGTAATCAGAAGGTTTAAAAACATCAAAATGTTCTTAGTGTAGTCTTTGAAGTCATAGAGGTAGTCACATACATGTTTCTACAGGTCTCAAGATCTTTATCTGCCCATGTGCCATGGGTCCTTTCTCTCTGCATTTGCTGAGACAGCTGCTGTAGTTGCCCTCTTCTCTAGAGGGGATTCAAGGGGAAAAAAATACTCATGACTCTCTTCCTACCGTCAACCCAAACCAGCACTCTGTCCTCTTATTCCCCTTTACCATGATAGTAGGCTGACTTTAGCAGATCGATTTAGATATGATAACCTGCTAGCTGTGTGACCCTGACATCCAGTGCCTCTGTAACATGAAGATAATCATAGCATCTACTTCATAAAATGTTCAGCACGGATCCAATTGCATGAAAAGCGATTAGCAGCGTGCCTGGCACAGAGGAAGCACTCAATTAAAATTTATTGCTTGTCAGGAGTCATTTCTAGGGAGCCTCTATTTCCCAGAGTTTAGGCACCTAACCGTTGCTGGAGGGCATCCAGGAACTGTGCTGTTTTTGGATCTGGACCCACCCGTTAATCCGCTCCAGCCTCACAGCTGGCCAGCCCTTCCCTGACTGACCCAAAACCTTCCACCACGTCTACCAGGGAACTGACCCTTCGGGTTTCCTTTGACGGACCCTTACCAGAGAAACGTTCATTTCACTATGGCAGCAGTGATTTCTCTCCAAACCTTCTCATAGAGAATCCACCCTCATAGGGCCTATAAGGAAAGCGATGTGTGTGAAGAGAGTAGTTGAGGAACGGCAAGAGTGACACGTCCCTCAAAAGTCTAAAAGCTGGTACAAAATCGGATGCTAGCGTCTCGGGCACGGCCTCTGTTTGGTCTTGGGCGACGAAGTCCAGCCGCCTGGAGGGGAGCTCCCAGGTCGGTAGGACTCCCGGGAAGGCCCGGTCGGGTCGCAGGGAGTGGCGGCGGGGACCCTGGCTGGATAGGGGCCCGCCGCCCACCAGTCCTCCCGCCTCCCGCCGCCCGGGACACAGCTGGAATCACCCAGTTGGGATGGCACAGGTCAGGGAACGGTGCCCCGCTACCCGTGCCCGCACCCATACCCCAGGGAACGGCCACGCCCTCTGGCCGCTCCGGGACTCACCGCCTCAGCGCCCACGGTTCTCCCAAGCTCACCGGCAACTGCCCAGGGCGCAGGCGCGGGGCTGCACTGAGGACTACGTCTCCCGGCAAGCCACACGTCACCCGCCGCGTTGTGCGCCTACAGGGATGCTGACGTGGGAGGGGCTGGGACTCTTCCTGGCTTCCAATCAGCCTCAAGCTGTTTTGGAAAGACTCCCGTTTCCTGTTTAAGCGCTTCTTAGTCCCAGGGTGTTGGGTGGGGCGAACCCCGGGTCGTGATCCAAGTGAGCGCTTCTCCTCCTTCAGCCTTGGAGTAACTGGAGCGGGTGGGGACCACCTTTAAATCTATTATGACCGGGTCACTGATTCTTAAACCTGGCTATGTGGGGAGAATTTGTAGGGAGAGCTTGTTAAAAAGTCATATTTCTGGGCTCCACTCGCTACCCTGACGCATTGAATCTCACAGGAACCCAGGGATTCGCATTTCAATAAACCATCCTGGAGATTTTGACTCCGGTCGTCCGCCTGCCGTTCACAGTGGCTTTGGATTTGCTTTTTAGTTACCCCACCTTCAGGACATGAGTTTCGATCAGGCGACCCCGCCCATTCCCCTCTGCCTTCAAAAGCCACAGAGGTTTCTGGGGTCTTAAGGTTTGCCTGCGGGCCCCGCCTCTTGTCTTTCAATTGGTCCCTCGCTGGTCCCAAATTTTCTGTAGCCAGATTTTCTTTTCTGGTTGGTCAGCTGCGAGTTGCGGCGAGACCTGATCCAATGGCCCCCGATGCAGTGGTGTCGCTCGGGAAACGCAGCCCTAACGTTGATCCTAAGCTGACAAATTGGTTTGTGGACGCCAAACTTACAGTGCTAGGGCTTTTTGCTTGTGCACCGGGGGCTTAGTCCTGCGTGGGTCCAAGACAGACATGAGAAAGCTGCCTGCTCTTGTGCCTCCCGGAGGCCCTGGTGGAAGCAAGACGGGGGTAGGAGCTAGAATGTCCCAAGCCCAGTGAGGCCAAGCCACTGGAGACAGCTCCGCCAGGTTCAAAGTTGCGATTACCGGCTGGAACTTGAAACCCGTGCACGCCGGACTCCTGCTGAAGCCGTCATTATTCCCTCGTGGTCCCTGGCGCCTTCGCCGGCGGTCACATCTGGTTTTGAGGCCAAGGTGGTCTGGGAGCCTGACGGTGGTGTCTGCCCTGGGCTCCCACGGGCGCAAAGGGTTCCCCTTCTGTGAGAGGAAAGCTATGGAAGTTCCTACACCGGGAGCCAGGAACTCCTGCTGCTCCCGCCCGACTCAGGGTCTAGCCTAGAGGCCTCCCAACTGTGCTTCTGAGGCTTCTGCTTCCAAGAGGCTGCTGGTGCCCGGGACACCCGCAGGCAGCTCTTAACAGTTTTGCCATGGGTGACTTCGGCCTGAGATGCGCACCATGGAGCAGATTCTGGAGTTGCTGGTGCTGGAGCAGTTCCTGACTATCCTGTCTCAGGATGTCCACAGAAGGGTGCAGAAGCTGCAACCTGCGAGCTGTGAAAAATCTATGATTTTTTAAAAGTACATGTATGACTTTTAAAAGAGAGAGCTTGTGAAACGGAGGGAATAGGTGAGTGAGAGAGTGGTTTTACCTGCGATCTTCCTCAAGGAGGCCCAGCCTCCCCTTTATTCACAGGGTTCTGGGTCTGGTGGGCCCAGAGGACTGAGACATCTCACTGTCTTAGTTCCTCATTCAGATTTTCTTGATTGCCCTGAGTAGACCTTACACGGGCCAGTGACTTTTTTTTTTTTTTTTTTTTGTAGTCTTCTCTGGAACATTCTGCATCCTCCCGATTTCTTCCCTGTGCAGGGAAGAGTGTGCTATTGCTTTTGGTTTCCACGGGGAGGCAGTGTTGCTGTCATAGCGTCAGCTCTGGAGGTAGATCAAAGAGGGCTTTCAACTTCTAGTTGTGTGACTTTTGGCAAGTGACTCTTGCTTGCTGGGCTTTACTTTCTGCACTGGTCAAATGCAGAAAGGGTGATAGACCCTTCTGGGTTGTTTGGAGGATTAAAGGGAGAGCAGTATGTCTGTGGCAATCACACTCTGGCACACAGCTAGTGCTTGAAACCGTGAGCTGCTATTAGGTGAGGGGCAGCAGTCTGGTCTCCTCTGCAGAGATGGGTCTTAGTTAATTGTGAACTTAGACAGTTTGGTACTGAGGCTTTGGGTAACTGCCCACAGGGCCACCCAAGTAAGCTTGTCTCACTGAGAGGAACAGGAGCATCTGGAGAAGGTGAGGGAGGGACAGAAGACCTATGGGGGATGTGTGTACTGAAATGGGCCTTCTCCCCACACCCTCCACACAAGCACATACACGTACACACATTCGCTCAGGGTCATGGCATCATAAAAACCTTGAGTTTAAACCATTCCTTTCTCTTTTTGGATCCAAAGGGACAGACTGTGGTTTTCTGTTTGTTTACTCTCAGATTCCTGTCATGATTTTTCTTTTCTATTGAGCCCTGTTGTGATGATGTGATGGCAGGTTGGTTCCTACATCATACAACATGGACCGAGCACAGAAGTGTTTTCAGAAGAGCCTGTTCCTTACAAAACAGCATGAAAGTCATTGAGCCAGTGGATACTTAGAGGAACCTTGAAGTATAGAATAGTTGCTACTTCTTGTTCACTAGGTCCAATTAGCATGTCATCAGTGTAATAAACTAGCGTGTTTTCTTGTGGAAGAGAAAGGTGATCAAGATCCCTGTAAACTAAAACTATGATGTGGGGCTGGAAAATTGATATACAATACATCTGAGGTAGGATGGTGCGGGTATGTTCCTGGTCTTGCCAGCTGAAAGCAAATTGCTTCTGGTGGTCTTTACTAACAGTTCTTGAGAGAAAAACAGTTTCAAGGGCAAGAGCTGCATACTAGGTTCCAGGGGATATGTTAATTTGCTCAAGCAATGAAACCACATCTGGAACAGCAGCTGCAATTGGAGTCATCACCTGGCTTAGTTTATAGTGACCCACTACCATCTTCCAAGATCCATCTGGCTTCTGCCTAGGCCAAACACGTGAGGTAAATGTGGATGTCTGCATATTTGAAGTCACTCATGGTATTAGTAAGCTCTTACAATCTCTCCAGGAATGTGGTATTGCTCTTAGTTTGCTGTTTTCCTAGGTAAAGATAGTTCTAGTGTCTTCTACTTGGGTTTTCCTACCACATTAGTCCCTACTCCACAAATCAGGGAAATAGTATGAGGATTCTGTCAGTTGCTGAATATTTTTCTTCCCATTATGCATTCTGGAACTGGGGAAATAACCATAGGTGTAGGGCTGAAGGCCCATAGGGTCATGGGATGTGCCTTATGCTGTGCTGAGGCGCAGGATCCGGGAAATAAAGAGACAGGACACAGAAGTACAAGGAAAATGCAGCTGGGCTCGAGGGGCCACATCACCTATGAGCAGAGTCAGGTGAGGTCCCGAATGTCCAGAAACATGAGTATTTATTGTGTATACGTTAGGGGGCAAGGCAGTGAGTGAAATCATCTTTAAGGATAGTGATAGGGTCGTGAGCAATAAAACAAGGGGTCCACCCCTATTAGCTTACCTAGGCTAGGAGGTAGAGAGTGCACAGCAAGGGGCCCATTCCCATCAGGCAAGAGTCGTGTGCAGTAAGGGGTCCACTGCCATTAGGTCACTGAGGCTTGAAGGTGAGCCGTGTGCAGTGAAGAGGGTGCAGTGTGCAATACTTCTATCTATGGGCAAACTACTTGTAAGAATATTTATAGGAGGATGCTTTAAGTCACACAGCAGTGACAAAGCTGTCAAGGTTACCGCCACCTGCTGGCAGCTTCCAATGAGTTCTATGGGAAGATGCTTTTTGAGCAGCACAAGTAGCAAGAGCTGATAAAGTTCACAGTCACCAAGGTGGATTGCCGGTCTGAGGGCAGCCTTCCACAAGACCTGGAGCAAGGTCCTACAACTCCTTTATCAGGAGGAGTGGCTCTCGCCCCAAGCCTGCCATACAGCGGGTATCTTTACGATACTGAATGCTGCCGCCTGGGCCATGGATTCTTGTCCTGGTATAACTGTTTTTCCCTTAAATCATGCTCTGCACTGTGTCTGCTCTAGGCACTCCTCCAATTATAAGCTGCTTATTCCTTAATTCATTCTCTGTCCTGTGTCCACTCTAGGCATCCCTCCGATTATGAACTAATGTATAATTATATATGTAGGGAAATATTCTTTAGGCACTCATACTATCAACTATTATATGATTATATATAGAGGATTATATAAAGGGATTCTTCAAGCCCTAATTTTATAAACTAATATGTGATTACATAAAGGATTATATAAAAGGAAATAACTGAGTAGTAACACTATAAACTGAGATACTCTTCAAGCCCTTACTTTGCCAGAGTTCTGCTTAGGTCTCTTTCCTTGGTGCCTATATGGGGGGGTTACCCATAATAGGATAGCTTTAGAGATCCATAGGACCCATTGTGAGGCAGACCTGAACTAAAACTCCATTAATCACCTGATTGCCATAAACTGTTACTCTGACTGGTGAACTGAAGTGACATTTTGAGTCTTTTGGAATCAGTGCCAGTTCAGAAGCAATGTACAGTCATCCCTGAAATGTTTGATTATTTTATTTCCCTTACTGCATATTCACCTCTAAAGCCATAGATCTCTTTGAGGAAAGCTGGCAGAAAATTAGCAGTATATATTTTTGGCAGTGTAGTGTAATAGAGTCCTTCTTTATTCATAGGGTTCTGGGTCTGTAAATCTGGGAATTGATTGAAGGGCTGTGACTATTTTGGTGACCAGGTTAGACTTCTGTGCACTCAATCTAGAACTCATCCATTTATATACATCAAGTAAGAATTTAGTAGACTGCCCATCTGTTTCTCTTCAAGGGACACCATGATCAACTAATCAATGCCATATGTATCTGCAAGTCAGACTATTCTTATTGCTGCACTGAATCTGCTGCCCATTACAGTAACTATGCACACTTTGTCTTTGTTAATTAAGTGCCCCCACTTGGCCCCTGCCATGCAAAAATCCAGCTATCCTCATT